CGCAATTAGACGCAATAATTAATCATAAAAGCCTATTGAAAATTCCGTCGTGGCGGAGTGTTAGTCAGATTCACACTCAATTAACACACTCGCGCCTACGTGGCGCGCGCGTCCGCCCGCGCGACTCCGCGACGGTGCGACATTATGGATTTTATCGCGGCGGTCGCTAATTGCTACTGAAATTTATCTGGCGCCTCCATATTCTACGGGATATTACTACGGCACTGCAGTAGTACTGGAGATCGTAACTAACCCTCCTAAATCAACGGCCTGTTCGCGCGCGCCCGCCACTAAAACACGAGAGTGGTGTCTCGTTTGATTTTGTCGGGCGCTCGGTAACTCGCTAAATCAGGCACATTTGTCCGTTCTTTTTCCCCGCACAAAGTTGCGAACACCATCGCTGTCAGTTAAACAGCGCACGATATACGCGATTTGCTACTATGAGGAGACGGGGATGGCGATGATGACGTTAATGTTTTCGTGTCTCTGAATTTTGCGGTGAATGGCATTTCTCTGCAAAATTGGTATTTCTCTCTCTCTCTCACACACACACACACACACACACACAGGCGCGATACTGTAATGCGGATTCATACGAATAATTTGCACACGGGTGTGCTTAATTACTTATTGCCGGGTTTCTCCGCCGGTAATCGTCAACTATATACACGTGGAGCTCTGGCGAAAATGTTGATACGGCGAGAAACGCGAGAAAAGGAACTCGTCGGCGTCCTCTTATTTTTGAGTCTCTCGCACAATGTCGACATGGACGACAAGAGGTGGGAGTTTGAAAGAGATGTGGAAGATACGCGCCAGCCTCTGGCATGTGCAGGAAATTGTACGGTGTATGTAAAGGAAATAGTGCGATAGAACACGAAAAAGAAAGAGTGGTCGTGCGAAAGAATGAGAACAAGGGAGTGAGAGAAAGAGAGAGAGAGAGAGAGAGAGCGGGCAGGGGTGGTTGGAAATACGGAGGGAGAGCAGAAAGCGATATGGTAAATGGCAGAGAAAAAAATTAAGGAAAAAAGAGGGGGAAATGAAGCGGGAGCGCGACGCGAAGCGAATGAGGGAATAAAAACCAGGAAGGGTTCGATGGAATCGGTGCGGGCGGGCGAGAGAGGAAAGAGAGAGAGAGAGAGAGAGAGCGAGGGGGTGAGTTGGATTAGCTGGAAGTATCTGCTATAAGAAAAAGCCGAAGACGGACGGGTTGGGGGCAGCAAAAGGACGGGAGAGAGGACGCGGAGACTCGGCGAAGGAATAGTAGGCCATTCAGTCGCGCGCGAATGCGCGCACAGATTAAGCATCTTAATCACCTACGAAGCAAAACTGCAAATTGCGCACTCGGGCGAAATGAAAACGGCGCCGGGATGTTGCGCGCGCTCGCGTGTAAGAGGCCGGCAGCGGCGACGGCGCGTTCGGAACAAAAAAGCCCGACGAGCTCGAGGCGCGAGCGAGGAAAGGATGAGCGCGCGCGCGAAGCTCGCGAGCTGAGGGCTCCAACGGCCAGAGAGAAAGGGTCGACTCGTAAAAAGTCAAGAGCAAAGGACACGAGGGGAAGAGGGAGGAGGAGATATGCTCGGTGAATCGTAGATGCTTCGAGCGAAACGGCACGAGTTGGGCGCGCGCAAGTGTGTGTGCAGGGCAGAGTGTACGGATAAATCTCGTCTTTTTCTCCCGTTGTCCTACTCTTCTTCTTCCTTTTTATCTTTAGTTTTTATCGGCACGATACCGCGCGGCCGTTATACATCGTCGTTTTAATCTCGGCTCCGCGGCGCTGTTTCGCAGCACGGCGGCATTCTACGTGATTAAAAACGAACTCGTTTTCAAACTATGCGATTACATTAGTAATAAAATTTTTCGCCGCGGCAACTTTATTGAATCCGTACGTGTATGTGCGCGGGCTTTTATTGTGCGTCGGTCATATTTTATATCTGCAATTTGTGTGTGAAAAGTTGATACTCGCTCGCTTGCTTCGTGAGAGACAGAGAGAGTGCTGAGTGCTGTTTAGTGAGGAGCAAAGATTGTCAAAAACTGTGATTCTGTCCTTCCCGGCCGTTTAATATATCTTTTTCTCTCTCTATCTGTCTTTAGATTGTAAGAAAGATCGAAGCTAGTTAGTTATCGGTTACAAAATTAAGTAAGTAAGATTCTTAAATATGTTAAAGCGGCTTTGAAATCTCCGTTTGCTTGATTCTAAAATCTTTTGAAGAACAATAGAAATAATCGATTTTGCTATCGACCCCGGTAGCCAAATAACTTCTGCTACATTATCCTCAAACACGGCCACTCGTAAATTCACGCGCCGAAAAGGATAATTAAGCAAGCCGGCGCGCGCTCGCGCGAATATACTTTTCCGACTAGTCCAGCTTAATCTGCTCTCTCGCATAATTTTTTTCGCATGCGCCGCCTTCATTATAGCACAGGCCGCAATCTCGCCTCTCCCCCAGCATCTTGCTCGATGATATACGACTCGGCGCGCGCCGTGTCGTGCCGGCGAAAAATCCTATTTACACACACACACATACTCACGTACACAGAGATCCCGCTTCTCGTGAAAAACGTTCGTCGTTCGTCGATGCGGGAAATTTATTCCCATAATGCAAGTTTCAACGTCAAGACGGCGAATCGTTCTTTCCACCGCACGCGTTCATTCTCCCCGAGACATATTAAAAATAACAGTGCCACGACAGCGTGAAGCATCGTTACACTCTGCGTCCTATTACTTGCGACGGGGCGAAATCGATGCAATCGAGACGTCGTCGTGTATGCGGCAATAACACGATGCAATAATGCCAACGATCGCGCATCCCGATAATTAAAAACGGGAGAACGGCGATAAAATGGCGATTCGCAACGTTCGATGGCCGATACCAGATGCAATTCCACGTTTATCATTGACGCTGTAAGTCGACGTAATCCTTAACAAAGTTCAGATCTTCATATTAAACACACGCGGATTCCCATATATAAATACGAATATACCTTCTTACATCTCGTATGCACATATTTTGTGCATAATTCTGTACTTCCCGTGACTCAAAACGTTGAGAGTGCAACTCGCCAAAATTAAGTATCGCCGCGTAACGATTTCTTTTATCAATACCGCAATACTTGCGTACCGCGATATTCCTTTTTGCCGTGCGGGAAGGGAAATCAGCCTCAAGTGACGTCAACAAAGAGAAAGAGAGAAAGAGGAGCTTGCAACGTTTCTAATCGTCTAAATTCCACCGCTCACCGCTCGCGAGAACGCGGAAAACGGCCGCTCGTCAACGTCTGGCGTTTCGCACAAAGCGCCCCGTCGCGAAAGTACTCACCGCGAAATCGCGTATCGTCGCGCACGCTGTACCTTTTTGCTCCTTACCGAGATTAAAGTCCTTTGCGCTTTGTCCACGGGAACGTCTAACACGTTTCCCGTTGCCGCAGCCTCGTTTTCTGCGCGGCGTTCCGCCGGGCGGAAGATAGACGCCAACGAATAAGCCGACGAATAATTTTCTTCAGCGCGTATCTGGCCGGGCTGAGGCCAAATTAGTCTCGGGGATGAAATGTGAGGGTGGACGGCGACGGGGAGGAAAGGCTGGGGGGGACCAAGGGTGGAAAGGAGGAACGGCGCCACCCTAACGAGACTCTAATCTTCTTCCCTCGTTCAAGCTTAGGACAGCCCGCTCAAACTTTCGCCTCGTGCACCGGGTAATTAAAATGTTAATCGAGGAATTAGGCAGTTAAGGAGAAGCTTCGTCCCAGCGTATACTTTGGTTTCGTCCAAAGTCTGTCTTGATTAACAGAGCTCGCGGGTCGAACTTTGATCGGTTACGTTTAATGCGAACAGCCGGGCCGGCAGACGAGTCCGTTCTGAAAGCGACAAGTCCCAATGCTGCGTCAAGTGACGATCGTTTCCTGGAATTGTGGGAGTTTAGCGAAATATATGTGCAATGGGCTGCGTGAAACGGTTTAGACGCAATGAAGTTGGGAGCTCACCAAACTGTCTAAATTGTGAGTCATTACGCGCGGATTTTCGCAATAATAATGTAATTAATAATATAATGAAGAACATTAAATGAGAGATAATGGATAATAACAATACTAATAATAATTAATAATATAATTACTAGGCAAGCCCGTCACACGCAGTATAATAACTCTCAATTTTCACGACTTGGTGAGCTGCCAACATCATTGTGTCTAAATCGTTTTGCAGCCCACTGTTGCAGTACACGCAAGTGACACGATATGCATTAAATTCTGGAAATGTACGGAAAAAATATTCGATTTTGGATAACTGAATGGGGACCAGATGAAAAATTCGCTGGCGAGAAATTATATCTCCGTTACCGCGACGGAAAACATTCATCTGAACATTTAACTGCATTAAAACTCGGTTAGGATAACTAAGAGTAATTGACTGATGAATAGACACCTGCTATAGAGGAATCTTTCTGTTCTTACAACCAAGTTTTTCATTTGGTCCCGAAGTAACAGAAGATTCGACAGTTACAGGAGTTGTATTTTTTCTATGTACTACTTTATTACTTGCGGCATCACGTGTCATGTTTCACTTCTTTTCAAGACCGCGTTATGATTTAAAAAGTCTGGTGAAGAATTGCAAACTGAGAAAACGTGAAATAACGTGCGAAATAATGCGCATATAGTTATATGAAACATTGATTCGATTTCAACTCGTGTGTCACATGCTGCGAACGTAATTTCTCGGTCATCCACTGGAGTGGTTTCTCGTTTGGGAGATTCCTCTATTTCGGAAATTAGTTGGAAAATTAGTTTCGGCCACCAGTTTACCGCGAACTTTTGAAATTGGTAGGTTGGCGCGGTGCGGGGAAACACGGTTTTCCGTCGTCAGGGAGTCACCTTGCGCATTGTCGAGTTCTAATGTTATTACAGTTCATTCCGGACGACATTTCAACGTCGGTCAGCGACGAAACGCCAACGAGAAATTGTTACCTTCCGTTACAGCCGTCTAAAAAGCCATCCTTCATTTTTTGTTGCAGGTTGGACGACGAGAAGCTGGATCTCATTAACGTAAGTAATTCCGATAAGATGGAGCGTTACCTTCTACAACTTTAATTAAACGTCGCGCTCAACAATGTAGAGTAGAATTTCTATCTGTTTATAGCTTGTCTCAAACAAATCTCATAAATTTACGCAATGTGCAGTTATGAAATTTGCGTTAAAAAATAATAGGAAGAATTTAATTAATAGATGAAAATTAGAACGACATTAACAGTGATTTTGCGAAATTCTTTTTAATTCTTAAGAAATGTATATTTAGAAAAAGCGAGAAAGATAAGGTAAAAATCAACAAAAATTCTCAAGAAAATGAACAATAAATTACAATAGAAACTTTCTCTTTTAACCCTATAATCTTAAACAGTGGAAAACTTTACTCATTCAGAAATTTTACTCATTTTTATTTGCCGATAACTTCCGGAAAAATAATCGGAATTCCGTCCTTGTTTTTTTTTTTAGAGTAGTAGAAAACATCGAGGAATATTAATCTGTTGATGTTTTCGCGATTCAGTGAAAAAAATTGAAAAAATTAAAATAAAACAATAAAACATACGTATTTTTAAGAACGGTCACATTCGGAAAATTGGTTTGGCTGAATTTTACCCATGTTTAGGTTTCAAGCATGAATTTTACAGGCGATATTTAAAAGGGCCATTGCATTACTCCATTATTCGCACGATATAAATAAACGAGAATAAATACAAAACGCGCGAGTTCGCACGGCACAGTTTCGAAGTAATCACTTCACTGGCTAGTCCTCTTTGCGCGGGATCGATTAAAAGCCTCGTAATATTAGCTCTCTGTAATCGCGTAAGCCTCCGTACGATTTCGCCGACGTTGATCGACATCGATATATACGGGACGCCGCGGATGGAAATGGACCGTGGTGGAACTACGCATTCCACGCTGTATCAAACGTTGCCGGCGTCATGGCGGCCTAACGCACCGCGTCGCGGGCATAACTGTATGCGCCAAATAACCGGAAATTACCGGGCGCATTTCAATCAGAGCGGCCTGGCAACGTCCGTCGCATGGACCATCATTTGTTCCGCATAAATAGACGCTCGGCCTGTATGATAATCTCTCAAATCGAGTCGGCAAATCTCGGGGAATTGCCGGCCATCTCTCTAGAGAGTCGCTTTTCCGGCGCAGCGCCACGGTGAATGATTCTCCGAATTCCGCGGCAAGGGCGGTAACGCTCGTCGTTCGTCGTTCGAATCGCGATTAGGATTCTTATCGTACCGATATGCCGGGAAATCTGGCTCGTTCGACGACGAGAGACGGGCGATTTCATGAATTCGGCGTCGACTTCCCCGCGAGTTCCTGTCGCGACGATTTGAGAATGAACGTTATTGAATATTGAACGCGAAATTGAGGAAAAGATCGGCAAGCGGATATCCGCGCACACGAATAGCTAAGACATTTTTGTCTGTCGGCGAATTTTCTGCATTAAATTATTACCGACGTGTTTAAATTATTATCAAGTCGAGATTTTGGTTCTGTATATGTTAACAGTGCAATTCTATTCGGGATGTGGAGTTGAGTCTCCGAAAAGACGCGATCAATATTGTTCCCGGTGAAATTATCGCCATCGGCGGCCAGGTCGTCGAAACGCTTTACGACGCCTCAAAGAGAGCGAGTCGAGAGGCCGTTGACTTTCGCATTTTGCGTCAGCGACGTGCACGCGTACGAACATTGAATATATCGAACCGCAGAATTGCGTCTCCCAATTACATGACAGCCGGGCGTAATGACGGCATTTGGAAATTCGTCTTTTTCGGCGATGCAAAACGGAACGCAAATTGCAATGGAACGGAAACAGAAATTTGCAATGCAAACAATGCGAGGCGATTAAGGCAACGTGCGGAACGATTAGTGCAACGATGCAATTTGCGAGAGACAAAATATTATACGCGCCGGCCATAATTGAACGGCCAAAATGACCTTCCACCGTTTATTCTGCGTCGTCGCGCGCGGGCTCGCGTCTACCACGGAATTGTGCACTTAAGCAAGATAGAACGCAATACCGTCGAGTAAGCCGGCAGATTTATCTCGATTGTGCATTGTTGTATTTACCGGGCGCGCGCTCCAATTGCGGTAGTTACGATACTTCACGAGCATAACGCGGCAAAACAATCGTCTTTGACTTGGATGAGGTCACCTACACCCGTCCTTACACATTGCGCTCCCTGTGCCGTTGTGCAATCGCGTCTCGCTCGAGTTAGGGGCGCAGCTCATTAAATCTCCCCTGCGGTCGAATTCGACGAAGTTGCTGTGCGCACCGCGACGGCATGGTACAGTAATGTCTTCAAATAGACATTCGCTCAAACGAACGAGCCTTTTAGTTCGCGTCGTTTCTATTCTCTAAATTTCTTTGGATGACATTTCGCATGAACAGTACACATAGAAGATATATATATTGTAGTTTCACATAGAAGATATATATATTGTAGTTTCTCCTTATATAAATTCTTTTCAATTTTACTATATTATTACTGGCCCAGGAATAGACTATCAGTAAGATTTATCTTGCCAAGGTGCATCACAAATTTCTAAAAATATAACATCTTGTAATAATACACTGAGAAAAAATATCTAAAAATTAACAAATATTTATTGGTATTGACATATTAGTACTATTAACATATTTACTTAAATTAAAGTCTTTTATTTAAATATTGTTAAATTGTTTATCACCCACTATCACTTTTCATTCATTTTTGAGCGAGATTCCACTCCAAAAAATTGAGAGAGCAGATCGAACAAAAACGCGCCTTTACATCTCTCCCGTGATCTCGATTAATCCGATAATAACCGCGAGATATTAAGAGAGAAGCCAAAGAGAGACAGAAAAACACAGATATCAATTTTCCATCGTGCCGGAAACTCCCGGCGGGTTTCGACTGTTTTCTATCGGCGCTTCGAAAGCGATACAACCAGCGCGGCAAGGAAATCAATTGAGAGACTACATATTTTGCAATTTTGCTTCTTGGTAGCAAGATACCAAGAAGCCTTTATTTGTCGTGGTCGGTACTTCTTCTTCCTCCACCGTGATATCAGTATCGGGCCGCGCGGAGCAATCTCAAGAGAGTGCCTTTACTCCACAATCTTCCGCTTGCGTTTTATTGCCGCGGTGGCTCTTCTCCCGCTTGTCGAACTGCTCTCTTGATTTTTCTCAGCCACTTGTTTTCATCGCACTCTCTTCCCGGACACCACCTCCCGAGGGTGCTTCTCGCTCCGCCGGAGCCTTACTACCTTGATCAGCGGACATACGTTCCGTAACATCGCATTAGTCGGAGTGAATCCACCGGCGATTCGATGCCACGAACGCGAAGAATTAAGACGGCACGTCGACGATCGCCCTCGGGATTGAGGAGGAGGGGAATGGGGAAGAGGGAAACGCTCGCGAGACACGTGTACGAACCGCGACGATTTCGCCCCCTGGTTTTATTCAAATGACTAATGCACTTTTGACATTGCTATTATTAAAAATGCATGAAATGCATTTTTCCGTTGGGATGCCACGCGGCGCAAATCCTTCCATTTGCATATCATTTTGTAGTACGCGCGCAACGGTAATCTCTCGAGGGAGTGTCCACTCTTCGCAATCTTCCGTGTATGTCACATCGCCGCTGAATGACAGTCTTGATTGTTCCCGTGGAAAGAGAGAGAGAGAGAGAGAGAGAGGAAGTGAGACAGAGAGTGGAAAAAACGAACACGCTCGCTATTCGTCTCTCAGCTCCACTTTTCTCCCTCGTCCCGTATTCTACGCGGATGAATCTCGATCTGTGTAATTATCGCCGCTGTTTCCATCGCGTGGAACGAGGCTCTCGATAAACATTGCCGAGGAAAGCGAGCCCTTTTAACGGAACTCCGGCAAAATCACCTCATTCTCCGCCTTGTCTGTTTTATGATTAAACGTGAAACACTTCCTTTTCTTCGGTAGACTGGAGAATAATGAAGGCAAATTCGTCGCGAAGCGAATTTTCACACAAAGAATCGTAAGTTATTTTACACCAAAGTACACGAATGTATTTCACATTTTGCATTACCGGGAGCTTCTCAGGGGACAACAAACAAAAGGAACCGCTCGAATAATTTATGTTTCAATACCTACGATTGCAGTTAACTCGGAAAACTTGAGCGAAACTTCTGTAGCCGTACTTAATAAAAGTGATATCTTCGAAATTATAACAGCTGCTTAGCAACTCTTACAATTTAACCATGGATTCCGTTTGTGAGCTGTCACGCGGTTTCAAAATACTTGCGCGTGCGTGCACACGTATGTGTTGTGGCCGGGACTGTTTAATTAATTTTTTCACATTATACAGCCGCGCGAGGCATTGTCGTGTCGCTTATATGTCACCGGTGACAATCTCGCGAAGTAGCTCTGCCGTGAATGGAAACTTGTTAATGAGTTTGCTTCTCATTGACGCGAGATTCCCTCTCCGGGCAATTTAAACTAAAGCGTCATTGTATTTCGTTATTTATTCGGGGCTGAAAAGGGCCGCCCATTTATAACCATTATCTAGCATCAAAGAGAGAAAAAGAGAGGGGGAGAGGGAAAGAAGAAGGGTGAGGCAGAGAGCGAGAAGCGAGGGTGTCTTCATGGCGAAGGAACATTCAATAGCGAATTATACAATGGCGAGATCCAGTATAAGATCGCTCCTCGTGCGAAGAGTTTGATCGCGAAAACTTTTACAGGGACGCGCACACAAAGGAGACGACGTGCTCTTCCAGCCTCTATGCCTTTCTCCCGGCTGGTCCTTTTTTTCTTTGGAAAGTACGAAAAAAGAAAGTTTTCCTCAGCGAAAATCTTTACCCCCGCGATTCGTGAGACAATGGCGCGGTTCCTCCTCCCGCGTCTCGGGATCGAACTCGAGCGTCACGAAGGGATGGCGCGATCGTCCTGTCGCCCACGCTATTATATACGTTTCGTCGCGATAAGTTTTTCCAGAGTTACCGTACACACTCTCGCGACACGTTTATCTCGGCTCTCTTCTCGCGACAGA